TAAAGAATACAATGATACATTTTAGGAAGTAAACAACTTTAATTACTTGATAGTTGGACGAAGTTATATTAGCTACTAGCAGCATGATCCGGCGTTGCCCGTGCTTGACTCAAAAATCGGACGACTCATACGGCAATCGCTATCACTTGACTTAAAATATTTTTGCCCTTCCTTGCCTTTAAAGGAGTGCCCTTTGCCGTGCTGATGTTGCTACATGCCTTACTTCTTGCCTATCTCACACTGCGAATTTTTTTCTAAGCTCTATACTAAACATTAAATCTGTTACGAAAAAAGAACTAAACAAAATGAACACAAAACCATCAGCTTTAAAAAAAGGACTCGTATCTTGAAAAACCGAATAAAAAAAGAATGTTAACAACAAATACTTTTTCCCACCCAACCCAGTTCTGCGAATGAGCCAATTGGAGTAAAGTGCCATGCAGATTTAAATTTTTCCCACTTGTGACAAATGCAGCTATCGATTTTTGGCATGCTAGCATGCTAGGTAACATTCGTGTCAGTCAGCTGTTGGCTGTCACGCTGGCCAATAGAATCTTCCTGCCTATTCGTGGCAGCCAGCTATTGGCTCTCACTCTAGCCATTACAAAATGGCCGAAAAATACATGAAAACTGCCGTAGAAGCATGTAAAATCCGATTATTTTCCACTATCGATGGGAGTTGGGAAATTCAAAGTCGGTTTTGGCATTTCCGCTAACTTGGAGCATGTGCATGTAGATTTTGATGCAAATCCGTCGAAAATTGCGGCCGTGCATTCGTTACACACACACACACACACACACACACACACACACACACACACACACACACACACACACACACACACACACACACACATCGTGCCTTTTATAGATAGAGATATATCTAGGAAATTATATATTTATTGCTAAATGTTTATATCAGATTTTAGCTGGTGCTCTATTTTTAGTTCATATCAATAAAAATTCAAATGTATTGATGAAATATTGTCAAAAAATATAGAATTAACTCTGCTTCTTTATCTGGTACTTGACAGAATTAAAAAGACAAATCTATAATGACGTTAAGTTATCAAACTGACCAGATATGAATGTTTCGAGTGTCGGAGAGATTTTTGCAATTATAAGACAATATTCAATGATTACGTTTACATTTAAAAATCTGCGTCCTGGATAAAACGTTAAACTACGTCGGACAGCAAGGCCTCTGATCAGGAGGTTTTTGAGGAGCGTGGAACCACCTCTTAATTGCTGGTGTTCCCAGGCCCAATCTGACCGGGGTGGTAGCACCTGTTGGGGTCCCAGCTGTGGGCAAGTAGTTAACCCCGAAACTGAGTTAAAAAGCATTATAAATGTGTAAAAATAGGTTTTAATACCAGAAATACCTCGTAAAAAATTATTGCCAGAAATATATTTTTGAAAAAAAATCTATTACCAGCAATATATTTTTGAAAAAAAGAACATTACCAGAAATATATTTTTGTAAAAAATATTACCAGCAATAAATGTTTAAAATAATATTACCAGCTATACATTTTTGAGGAAAAAATATTACGAGAAATAGATTTTTGACAAAACAAAATATTACCAGAAAAAAGTAGTCGGCATTAAATAACCCATTGAGGTTGATATGCCGTAAAACACAACAAACCAAAGCAAACCTAATCTAGTTTCAAATAGCGTTTCTTTTTCAGCCCCACCCCCGCAAAAAATTCCATACTGTTTACTACATTCCGATGCGTAGCGTAATTATTATTGCCGCGGATTGTGGAATCGACCATCTGAATTCAAATGCAACGTCATATGTTGCATTCACTTTCGCACAAATGACATTGGGAAATAAATGAATATTTTTAGATTGCAAGAATATTTTTGGTTTGGTTTGTTTTACGGCATGTCAACCTCAGTCGTTAGTAATATTTTTTTTTCCCAAAAATCTATTTCTGGTAATATTTTTCCTTCAAATATTTATTTCTGGTAAAAAGTTTCCTTCGCTAGTAATATTTAAAAAAAAAAAAAATATAGCTGGTAATATTTGTTTTTCAAAAATGTATTGCTGGTAATATTTTTTTTTACAAAGTATTTCTGGTATTAAACTTTATTTTTTACACTTTCATAGTGTTTTGACCTGGATTTGGCTGTTAACTATTTGCCCATAGCTGGGACCCTATTAGGTGCTACAACCCTGGGAATATCAACAATTAACAGGTGGTTCCATGCTCTTCAAAACCTTCTGATCAGAGGCCTTGCTGCTGGACGTAGTTTATCATCCTACCCTGGACGCGGATGTAGTTTATAGTCATGCCCAGAACGGAAAAATATTTTTAGAGTGATACGTGTCTTACTAATTTGCTCATAATTTTGGGGAGATGTTGGAGATTCATACATTCCCCAAGGGTATGTGCACGACCGTGAATATAACGAACCCAAATAGAATTGGAACGCTTCTCTCCGATTGACAATTCCGGTGATTTATGGCAATCTAGAACTAACTCTGCTTCTTCATCTGGTACATGACAGAATCAAAAGACGAATCTTCAATTTTATGGGTCCTAACCTTACACCTTGGCTCTTTGTTACATTGGCTTTATGAATTTAAGAACAGGTTCTAGATTGGCAACGAGCACTCATCATTTTACTGTTCGAATTATTAGATATAATGGTAACCTATGTAATAATAGTTTGTCCTTTCGCACTTCTCGCTTATGGAAGTCTCCTCCTGCTTGTTACTTTACTGACTATTACGATCTTCATGATTTTAAAGGTTTCGTTTGGTTTATTTTGTTTTACGGCATATCAATCTCAATGGGTTATTTAATGCCGACAACATTTTTAGGAGAGATTCGTATTAATAGAGTATGTATTCTTTGGTTTAGATTCGTTTGGTTTATTTTGTTTTACGGCATATCAACCTCAATAGGTTATTTAATGCTGAAATGTTTGTTTTGTCAAAAATCTGTTTCAGATAATATATTTCCTTCAAAATTGTATTGCTGGTAATAATTTTTTTCAAAAAAGTATTGCTGATAATAGTTAATTATTTGCCCATAGCTGAGACCCTAACACGTGCTACCAACCCGGGTCAGGGTGGACCTGGAAACACCAACAATTAAGACGTGGTTCCATGCTCCTCAAAACCTCCTGATCAAAGGCCTTGCTGCTGGACGTAGTTTAACGTCTTATCCAGGACGCGGATTTTTAAGATTTTAAATGTAAATCTAATCATTGAATATTGTCTTATAATTGCAAAAATTTCTCCGACACTCAAAACATTCATATCTGGTCAGTTTGATAACGTCATTATAGATATTGACGTAGTTTATCGTCGGACGTAGTTTATCGTTTTACCCAAGACGCGGATGTAATTTATCGTCATACCCAGGAAGAGAAACTAGAGTGGTTTCTGTCGCATGTTTTTGTTCCAGATTATGCTTTCTGATTTGGCTTTTGCCAACAAAGAATTCAACCATTTATTTGTATTTTCTCAAAGTTGCCATCAAAGCCTATGTCGACTGTCCATTTAGACGAGAAGCGACATTAGCATGGCCACTGTGATATCGATCAAATTCTGGGGGATTTCTAAAAAGAAAAAAAACTCTCAGTTCGAATGACTTCACGCAGTCCATGTTTTAACAGTCAAACATTAGAAGGCTTATTTTAGGATTTGTGTCTGGTCGAGAACCTTTTATCATCCCATCGTCAAATGCATTTAATTTCATGAACGACATGACACCAAAAGAATATTTTCCGAAATATGAAGTGATGACAGTTGCTGAACTATCACAACTAACACGAATGTCTGAATTCATAAGGAATTTGTGGAATGTAAATAGAACACCAGACGAATGTAGCGTGGAATATGCACACAAAATCTAACGGATGACGATTTTTCACTTCAAATAAAAGCCGGCTCTCACCATCGGCGGAATCGACAACTGTGATCTCAATTATCTAACTCCAGATAACAAATCGTAACATATTAGACCAAAAGTACTTTTTTTACATTACTTACATTCCGTTTAATGTTCTTATCCTTGAAGTTACCATCACAATTCGACTGTTTTGTCTTACGTACTTCTTCAGGCATAAGTCGAGACGAATGGCACAGAATTTCGAACTGAACTATTTCTATAAACTACGGGGCTAGACTGTTCTCATTTCCTTGTACATATCTAGGGATATCTTTTTTTACTATTGGCCATTTATAGTTAGTCCTCTTAGCACTAGTTCGGTATTAACCGTTCCATATAGTACCGTTTTAGACATAGATAGCGGAACTAGAATAATCTACATTTATAGGTTAAATTTGAAACATTAATACGACTTAGTTATTGCTATTATATACTACTCATAGCAGAGCTTTCGATTCATTGATTTGTTGGGATTTTGTTGTAAATAAACATGCCAGTAATTGAAATAGGAAAATATGTGTATTAACGTAAGAATACAAAGTTGGAATGAAGATTAGTAATCCAGGAATGCGGGTTAGTAGAAAAGTATATTTACAAGTCTCTGTAATGGAAACCGTAATTATCTCTCTTTCTGGACTCTCGTAACACCCTGTGTCGACCTTCCCTTGTCACGCTATCTCTTCGTAGTATAAGTATACTTGGACGAGTCCATTCTGTGTACAAGTGGCGAGCCCCACAATAGTTTTTTTTAACCCCTTGTCAACATATTATTGTTATTTAAATCCCCCCCCCAAAAAAAGCACATTTTAGATTAATTTTGTATGGACATAATAATGATTTGCTGACAAAACTCATTCTAATCAACGCATAGCTAATGAGGGAAAAGGTAGGCAGAATTGATATTTTTCTCAAATGTATTTTCGAGTAAATGGAAATATAACGCACCCGGCTGAGGTAAGGGCTGAAGTGATGCATTCATACCCTTTCCCAAGAGTATTTACTCATAAGTGAAGATAACGAACCGGAGAAGAATTAGAACTCGGCTCTCCGATTTCCAATTCGTTCGTCCATTACACAAACGACATATCCAAGCTTACAGCACCAGTTATTCCCAAGTAATCCTGGTACTGACCAGACTCAACATTGCTTAACCTCGGAGATCGTATGGGAACCAGTAATTCAGCGTGATATGGCCATAACCCACTCGGACCAGGGATTGAATTCACAATTTCTATAAGAGTTATGACCCCATGATTTAATATTATCTAAATGTTTTCTTGGCATTCAGTGATAAACGAATGTCTGTTTTGACAGGGTACCGTGGAAATATAGAGGAAATATTAATACGACTGTATCCCAAAAATTTGACAGCCGCTTTTGTAGATGGCCTCTGGAAGAAAATCATCACTCGATAAATATTATTCAGTGCGTCTTTTCCTGTCTTATCTTTTGGCATGCTGATGTCAAGATTTGATACATAGAACATTTCATTCACGGCTTTCTCGTTCACTTATGATTTGAAATTCTGGGATTACAATTAGACTAACCCAACTGATACAACATCACAATCCTAATTTATACTAATGAAATTTCATTAACATATTAAATGCGACCATGATACACACACTTGTGCATCCGTTTCACCGAATTAAAAATGATTCATATCCATGACACATGAATAACCCTCATATATGGTTTTTAATATATTTTAATAACATATAATTAAATATTTAATAATAACGTTAATATTTAATGTTTAATATATTTGAGAAATTTATAATTTCGTATTTTGTAATCATTTCGCCCCAGGCAAGGCAATAAAGCCACTAAGATGCAAGGGGTTACTAGGTGTTAGAGAATATGAGAGAAAGAAATCACTATTAAGGAGAGGGATTAATAAAGAAACAGGAATTAAGAAGACAAGATAACGATTGACATTGCATTTAAATATTTGACGATCAAAGTTGATGGGGAAGCAAGACGTCGGAAGAGAGTTACACAAGCGAGAAGTGTGATTGAAAAAACTGTTAACATGGAACTTATGGTTAAACCTAGCCACTACTAGTGTAAAATGATGATACCTTGCCACCAATCTAGTACTGAGCATAAATTCTTAAAGGCTACGTACCATAGAGGAATGTCACATTTATTTTGAAAAAAAAAAAAGATGAGGCACAAGAAAGAGGGGATAGGGGAGGGCTAGTCTAGAATTTGTCTTATCTTAAACTCTTGTAATAGTAAAACCAAGAATACTGACCTATACAAAGCGCATTATTCCTTACACCAAAACAACAAATTCTTACCATTCTTACAACACTCACCATAATACCTCAAGTCTCTATGTCGACCTAAGTAGTTCCCATATGTACAATTTCTCTGTTAGAATAAAAATAACAACTTTTAAATAATGAAGCCCCAATAGCCATCTCGTCATTTTAACTGTAAAATCATGAGACCTAACTGCCAATATACTACAGCGGTTAAATTCATAAACTCTAGGTACCAAAGAGGAAAGTTCATCAGAACAATTACGATGAACATATTCATAGAAAAGGCACAGGGAAGCTACCTTACGGCGGTGGCAAAATGACTGACGCTGTGATGGCCGGTTAGGACCAATAATATTGCAGATTCGTATTTGGATTATATTAGGAATCTCTAAATATATAGAACGATCACCGGAGAAGATGTGGCAGCAATATTTACAGCAAGGACGAATGGTATTTAAAATAAGATAATATTTAATATTTCATATATTTTAATAATATATAATTTAATATTTAATAATAACATCACTATTTAATTTTATTAATACATACTTTAAGAATAAAATATTAACGCAAATATTTATTATCATTAATACAGTAAAAACGACGACTAGAGAAGGTTGAAAGAAAAGGGAATAAAGAGAAAGAAGACGTTGCTTGTTGTTCAATGGAATATAAACAATTAAAATCAACTGTAATTCTCTTAACCATTCAAATGGAATCAAGCTTTTACAAAGAACCATAAATGATTGGTGGCTTCCTTTAAATATCATTTGAATCTTACCACCTCTCAAATACGCACATACATTTTTATAATTCTTCTGGGAAGTGTTTTAACAGAGAAAGGGAATTACACAAAGATACAGGAAAATTTCTTTAGAAACAAAGAAAATATTACTGAACTCGTATGGAATATCAGTCCTTATACAGAATATAATTCCTTAAATATGGAAGTGAATGCTGAATAATCTAATTAAAAATGAAGAAGAGATTACCATCGACTGAACATGGGAGAAACGACGACATTTTAGAGAAAATAGAAACAAAAAGGACACTTGTAATTAGAATCAGAGACAGACAATTGATATTTCTAGAGCACATAATGATATAAGTGGGCTTAGAAAATTCGACACTCACAGGATATATTGAAGGAGAGATGGACAGCAATTAAAGACAGCACAAACCTAGCTAGCGTGTTTTTGTAAATGGCTGGCAGAATAGTGTTTCGGAGAGATAACAAAAAGACAAAATTTTAAAGAGCTGCAAAGGAAAGGAAATTGTAGAGGGGAATGACCGTTCTGATCCTTAAGGGTCATGCCACCTAGAATAAGAAGAAAGTACCGAAAGTAAGTTCAACTGGTGCCTCATCTCGATCGTCTAGTGAAGGGCATCGTCTCTGGGCGCCCGACATATCTATCCTTGTACCATACATACGTTTCCTTGGAGCATTCAGTACTATGCGTAGGAAGACAGATCTTTACAGTAATGTATATTTTACACACATCCTTGTTCAAATTAATTGAAACAACTGTTTTAATACCTTTTCATTCACTATACGGTCAGTTTTAGACCCACTGGAGTGACAGGGTGTAATCGAATTCTATTTTTATCTCAGATTAGGTCATGTGCAGTGGTCTGCAGTAATATAATCTATATTCGAGGTGTATGATAATATTTTGTTCCTGAAAAATATTACGTCATCCGTGATCTGATTTTAAATCAGGCCTAGACACTATTGTTTCGACTGTCGATTAGTTGTCCTTTGGCCATTGTCCGCGAGGGACGCTACTTCAATGAAGTGTACGAAAATTGTAACTATAGATTGGTCCGGAAACTCCCCTGATTTAAATCCGATCGAGAATCTGTAGTCAATCTGCAAGGAACGACTTCGTGGAATGGACATACGTACTAACATGTGCACTGGGTCATGTTTCATTGGAAAATACGGAAAAAAGTAAATAATAACGGAATTAATTTGCACAAAGCTGTAGGTAGTGGATAGTGCACTCTCAGACATTACCCAGTGCTCTAATATTCCTGATTTTACCTTACTATGTTAAATAATAATTTGAATATATATATATATATATATATATATATATATATGAGATAGCGATATATATATATATATATATATATATATATATATATATATATATATATATATATATATGAGATAACGATATATATTTTTTGTGTCAAGAACAGTATTGGGGAAATAGTATGACAAAGAGAACAAATTTTACTTGTAATGCGTTTCGGACTAAATATATTTGTTTAAAACTATTTAAAGCTATTAGTTATTTAATCTGTTAAACATTTTAAAACATTAAGCAAGATTGAGGTGTTCCAGGGAATTGAAGAATTAATGGAAACTCGAAGACTTTTCACGAGAAAGACGGAAATTGCAGAGGATGAAATTAACATAAGACTCATGAGAATTAAAGGAAAGAAAACCAATCCAAGTTCTTGTATAAATACTGGAAATTTCAGAAACCGGATGGAAAATGAAGACGATTCTGTTAAAATCATTGCTGGAATCTGCGGGTAGGTCAAAGAGAATTCAGAATATTTATAATTATTGGCTTTTATCCAGACCGTAGCGATGTAAAACAAAAACGACATTGAATATATTATTGTTTTTATTCTGTTGCATCAGAAATTACTGGAGATAGAAAAATACAAAAGCAAAATCGATTCCCAGACTTCAGAAATCAAAGATTTCGGAAATGGGATCGGTTCTAATTAATGTCGATTGCCATTCAAAAATTTCTGAAATCTTTTTCAAATGAATCACGTTAATGCACAATGCGTCATTTAGAATATAAAGTAACATTTTCTCTAACTAGGCTAATCGTAAAATTCAATATTGAATAATTATAATCAATACCATATTAAGAATAGCTCTTTTCTGTTTTAATCGCAAAGAAAGGCCACTAAGAGTTACTAGTATTGAAAGAGAACGTGAAGACTTTAGCGAAGAGAAAGGACAATAAAAGAAAAGGATTTAAGAAGATAGAAGATGGTGATTGATGCTCAATTTAAATTTTGAATAGTGTAGGTGACAATCTGTTACTCAGCATAATCTGTTCCCCCCAGCAGGAAAAACAGTTTTTTTTAAGCATTTCACCCCAAGCAAGGCGGGGAGCCACTAGGACGCAGAAAAATTTAGAGCAAGATCAGATAGGAGTGATAGAAAAAAGGATGAAGGTAGTGGATAAATCAAGGCAACTGGAGATGTCGATTGACATTACACTTGAATAGCTGGAGATTATAGCTCACAGGGAAACAGGAGAAGCGAAGGGAGTTCCACAGGCGAGAGGTGCGAGACATGAAGCTATTAGAGTAGAAGAGACGGCTACATTTAAGAGTTTCGACAGTGAAGGGGTGAGAGCGGGATGCCAGCCTCGTAGGGCGCTGGAACCCATGACGTCTGGGAACCAGTGAATGCAGCTCCTCGGAGCAATTTCCATGAAAGTATTTGTAGAACAGACAGAGGGAAGCGACGGCGCGTCTGTGAGAAAGTGACTGTAGACGAGACGCCAGGGCAGGGCCAACTACATTGCATATCCGCCTCTGGAGCCTATCAAGAACCCCGAGGCAAACAGAAGGGGCACCAGACCATATATGGCAGCAATACTCCATGCAAGGGCGAATTGTTGATTTGTACATCTGGGGGATCAACTCCGGGTAAAAAAAAACTTCCTAGCGCGGCTCAGGTAGCCAACTTTCCTTGCAGTGGACGAGGCAATTGACTCGATGTATTTATTCCATCTCAGGTCAGCAGTCAACGTGAGACCGAGCAGCCGCAGAGAGTTTCTCTCGAGAAGTTGAGCGTCAGACATTCTAATGGAGGGAAGGGAAGGCTCTCTGTGGTGATTAATATAGAGCAGTTTTGTCTTAGAAGCGTTCGCAGTAATTATGACGCCAT